ATATTTTCGTCCGATTTAATTTAAATGGTGCACCAAAGTCCCCATATATCTATCGATTTGCACGAAATTTGGCACAGTGGGAGTATAAAAAGATGTGTGCAATATTTCGAAAAAATCGGTTCAGACTTAGATATAGCTCCCATATATATTTACGTCCGTTTTTATGTAAATAGTGCACCAAAGTTCCTATAAATTCTTCGATTTTCACGAAATTTGGCATGGTGTACTAAATTAAGTCTTGAATGATGTATGTTAAGTTCGGAGAAAATCGGTTCAGATTTAGATATAGCTCCCATATATATATATTTTTTTTTTTAATTTCGGGTCACTGTTTGTAAATATAAATATTCTATGACCGATGATTCATAGTTATAAATATAAAAATCTCAAGATCACTCAAAGGTGGCAGATAAGGCTGGCTTTTTGGTACTGAATGTGGCACGATATGTATTTCGCAAACCGGTGGAGGTAGAACTCTTAAAATTGCATTGAGGGTCGTCGATGGAGTGTAGATGTTCCAACGGGTTTTTGGAAACTATAAGTACAAGTACTAAAAAAACTACATTTGTTACTATTTTGTAGCATGTGAACGTATAGAGCTAAAAACATGAAATTTGGATTTAGAACTGGAATAATACAAATTGGAGTGTAGAATTGAGGTGTGTAGGTAAATGGTACCAAATTTAGTAAAATTTGAATTTTGTTAGAACCGATAGAGCTAGAATCTTGAAATTTGAAGTTAGGATTCCTATTGGGTTGTAGGATGAGTACTAAATTTTACACAATTTGGATATAGGTGAACCGATAGAGCTGAAGTACTAAATAGTTGGAATTAATATTAATGTTGGATATGTACATAGTTTTGGAAATTCATACTTAAATGGTACTAAATTTGTATTTAGCGATAACGGATAAATCTGGAATCCTGAAATTCGAAAATAATATTTCTAGATTGTATGATGTAGGTGGAAATGGAAAATTGTTCTTCTGTATACTGAGTGGTACTAAATTTGATACAATTTGGATTTAAGTGATCCGATAGAGCTTGAATCCTGAAAGTGGGATTAAAATTAATGTTGGAGTATTTGATTGAACAAGGGTGTTGTTCTAGAAATTTATACTCATGGGTATTACATGGTACTAAATTTTGATATAATTTGGATTTAGGTGAACCGGTAGAGCTGAAACACTAATTTTTGGAAATAAGATTACAACGGCATTATAGAATTGAGGTATGTTGGTAGTTAGGTAGTTTGGGAAATTCGTACTTATGTGACGAAAATGTGATGAAAAATATTGTAAAAATTGAGTTTCAGAACCTAATGCCAGAGAATATTTAAATGGTTATATCATCAATCTACGCCTTGTTATGTTCTCTGTCAAGAATATTGCGACCGTTAACTTAATAGTTATTTGAATTTTAAAATGGAATGAAAATATTAAACTTAAAATTGAAACAAATTAGTATCAAATTTAACTAAATTGGATTCAATTTCCTATGTTATGTTATCATTGGGTAGTAAGTGTTCCTGACAAAATTGAGTACCCAAAGGTTGGAAAATTTCATAGCACTATCCGTTATTCGGTATTTTTGGTTTATTTTATTTGATTTTCAAAATCTAGGTTCACATTTGTAATCGGTGACCGTAGCTCTATAAAACGTGCTCAAGAATCATTTGAACGCCATTTTCAATTCACCCTATTACATTTTGACTTATTCTTGTAGAATCGTAATCAGCGTAACTCTTATATTGAGTTGGGGAAAAAGAAATTCATTATTTTTTCGGCAAATGGCTGTACTTAAAGTATCGATCAAACAATTTCGGATTTATGCTCGTCGGTTGTGAGTTACAGGGTGTTAAAAATGGAATTGAACAAAAATTTTTTTCCCCAAACTAAACCCGATTACGGGTATGTTCTGGAACTCACTGCGTGTTCTTTTCACTTCACACATACACTTCACCTCAGAAGCTACCTCCTGTTCTGCTTCTCACGTGAATTGAAATTTTGAACTGCGACAAAAATAAACGTCGACATGGTACTTTGCAGAAGTAGAGTTGCCATACAATATAAACTGTATTCGATTTTAACATTGTTTCTGTATTAATTCTAACGATAATTTTATTATTATTTTTTAATATTTTATTATTCGCAACATAAAATATATGTATGAAAAACTCTGTAATATCATTAATTTGTTGACTGATTTAAGGGGAACATTTGGTAACCCTATCTTCCTCGGCCTTACTTCAAATCAGATGTTTGTGCCAAGCAAGAAATTCAGTTGAAGAAAATTCAAGACAAACCTTAGTATCTATTTAAAATTTGTTTTTAATGGCGTTTCATGTTTATTTTGTGATTTTAAACAATTTATACGCAATAACAACATATCAATCTATCATAATGTTCCTTTTTTATTTCAAAAAAGATTTTATTTTATATGGAAAAACATGAATACACCCGACTCTCACTATGAAAATGTAAGTGTAAAGAATACACCTCAAATGGGTGTAAAGTGTGTTACAGAACACCTCGGCGTGTGTTCGATACACTTCTGCCGTTGAAGTGAATGTCAGAACATGCCCGAATATGTGATATTTATGTATTGCATCAACCCACTGCTTCAATTATAGACAAAAATGGGATACATCAGGAAGCATGGATTTACTGTCCTGCACTATTTTTTAATAAAATGGGTGCTCACATCGTATCTGTACAATTTTGTAATACTCACAAAAACTCGAAATCCTCATTGATAATTCATCATCGATGTATATTGAACAACAGATGTTAAAAAAGTGGATCCCAAAAAATGGTTTTTAGAAATATTATCGCATTATCAACGAACTTTACTACGAAGCTGATTTAATAAAGATTTTCTTTAAATCACTTCAGATTTATATATACCTCCTAGACATAATTTCGTCCGATTCCTATAAATGGTAATGAAAAAACACCAAATTTTATGTAGACCACCAAAATAATACTATCGTTATTTCAAGAGACAGACAGACATAGATTTTTATTCTGATGATGAATATATTCAGAATCCTTTTATTGGACAGCCGTAATTACAATGTAACAAAATATTAGTTTGCAAAAAAAGGTTAATTTCAATATAAATTAAATGCCCTTGAATTTTGTAAATCTGTCTAGTTTCCAATGAAGAACAAAAGCAAAATATAGTGGCATCAATTGCATTAATGTACGTTTATGGTGCACACTCAGGAAACGTTCATTAACTTAGCACAAAACTTTATCTTACGGGAGGGTCAACAGTAGAAAAAGGCAACAGCGTATTTTCAGGGCGTTCAGTACTTTCTGTTTACAATACAAGACAAAGCTATTCACAAGAGGGAGTAACTTTTGCATACATTCAGTGAGTTTGTTAGCTTTTTTTATGCTCATACTGACTACCTTAAATGGGAGGATCCTATAGAAACTATCGGGTATGTTCTGGAATTCACGGTGTGTTGTTTTCACGTGAATTGAAATTTTCAACTGCGACAAAAATAAACCCCAACATGGTACTTTATAGAAATAGTGTTGTCATACATTATAAACTGTATTCGTTTTTAACATGGTTTCTCTATTTTTTTACTAATTACGTTAGTTCTAACGATAATTTTGCTATTATTTTTTAATATTTTATTATTCGCAACATAAAATATATGTATGAAAGACTCTGTAATATCATTAATTTGTTGATTGATTTAAGAGGATCATATGGTAACCCTGTCTTCTTTGGCCTTAAACGCCATATACATTAGAACTTTTTACCGGGTTAACCTACTTTATGAAGATTTATTTGACATATATTCAAAGGAATTGACAATTGAAGCCCACTGGGTTTACGAAATCCGGTTAAATGTAAACGTACCGTTACTTCAAATCAGCTATTTGTGTCAAGCGAGCAATACAGTTGAAGAAAATGGAACACAAACCTTAGTATCTATTTAAAATTTGTTTTTAAGGACGTTTTATCTTAATTTTGTGATTTTAAACGAATTATACGCAATAATAACAAATTATTCTATCATCATGTGCAATTTTTATTTCAAAAAAGATTTTCTTTTATATAGAAAAACATGAATACACCCGACTCTCACTATGAAAATGTAAGTGTAAAGAATACACCTCAAATGGGTGTAAAGTGTGTTACAGAACACCTCGGCGTGTGTTCGATACACTTCTGCCCTTGAAGTGAATGCCAGAACATGCCCGTATGTTTCCTACAGTTTCACAAGTAGTGGCTGGCAAATATCATCGACTACATCGCCGGTTATATTAATGCTCAGTGATAATTTGTAGTGTCTCGGACCTTAAGAATTTAATAGTTAAATTTTCAAGAAAATAATTACGTGAATTAATTCATAATATTGGATTTTTTAATTCTATCTGCAACAATCTCCCCACTTTTGTTTGGTGGAATTTGCGCAGCGTACTGAATTGAGAGTATTGTAATGTATATTAAGACTGGTTGAAATATTTATGGCTCTTATATATAGTTCCCATATATACCCTCATTCGACTTTTTGTAATCTCCAAACTTCCAACATTGGTACAAGAAGTAGTAGTCCCATATATACCCTCATTCGACTTCTCCAAACTCCCGAAATTGGTACCAGAAGTAGTAGTCTGACATTTTCTATCATGGAAGAGATATTACGATGGTTAAAGTTTGGATTAAAACAGTTACTCCTTTTGGCAGTTACCGTACGACCCATCTATTCTTAAAATAAGATGTATGATGTATTTCTATAAGGTTTACAAGACTCAAACATATTCTTCATTGGAAGAATTATATTCCATCAATAGATCCACGAAAATCAGTGAAACATTCTATATTTGAAAATAACCCTAAAAAATTGTAATGACACTTCTCCAATGTGTCTTGTATGTGTATATTCTTATTTTCCAAAATGTACTTAAATATATACATAGTAAATAACATATATTAACAATTACATATTTTAAATTTAACAATAGACAAAGTCATATTTATTATTCTAGTGTCCCACATCTTCAGTTGCTTTTGTCGACGATGTTTTCTTTTCATCTTTCACCTTGTCCACATAAATGTTAAGAATTGCTTCAATGCCGGGATATAAAACGAAATTAGTGGTGCGTATTTTTTTATCTATTAAATATGAAGTTACTGAATCCGTATTAAATGCCAAATCTAATGCATCATTATGTGTAACTTTATCGATATGACTTCGTGGTATTTTAATACAACAATTTTCGAAGCCATTCACTTTAATGGCTAAGTCCAGTTGATAGTGTTGATCAATTTCAGGCCACTTTTGTGATAGAACATCATTGTCCCATTGTAATTCAGTTGATGAGGAATTTATCCGATTACTGGCAGATGAAAACTTGGACCATAATTCTGATGCGAAATGTGGAGCCATAGGTGCCAACATAATGATTTGTGACGCTAAGGCTCGTTCATATTGTTTGCTATAACGCATAACATGCTTTGGCACACGCTGGAAAAATCAAATCATAATTATTGTTAATACGATAAAATAATAACGAGCTTACCCTCAGCGAATTTGTCAATCCTTGCATTTTGGATATAGCTACACTTAGTTGATGAGTGTGGCGATAATTGAATGTGGCACCCTTAACATAGAAATTTCTGGCATCAAACATTTTTTCCTCTTCATCTTGAAATTCTTTGGAATTAACGTCAATCTTAGCTTCTTCTGGAGAAGATCGTAGTTCGCAGAATTCGTTAATGGTTAACCATAGACGTTTTTGCCAATTTAAAATTCCGGGGAATGCTGCAAAAAATAATAAATAAATCTAATATAATTCCAAAATCTCGATTTCTGTTTCTTTTTATATTAACAAAAATGTAATATAAAATCAGGTATACCCTAATTTCATTATTTTTATAAAACTTTTACTTTTAAACTACAAAGAAGGGAATATTTTACGTGAAATATAAGATGTATTTTAAAGAAGACAATATAGCCAAAACATTCAAAGAGAATACTATTACCAAAATTACATTACTTGCGGTCGAGAGAGGTGAAGTGTTGCAATTCCCAACAACTCTCTCTAACCTCGATTTCTTGTGAATCAATTAACGAATAATTTCATTTATTCTCGAATGAACAAATGTTTTTAGTCAATTTTACATCATTTAACTGCGAACGTGTACAATCAGTGTACAATAATCAGACCTATATTCTTAACCCTTTCAGTGTTTTTGTCGAATATATTCGACATTTAAAATTATTCCCTTCCTTTGCAAATTTTGGGTTATCCTATGTACCGTTACAATTGATGTCTTTGTTTTTGCTGAAAGACAGACAAAACTGTCCGAGGGTTAAAAGAAGAATTGCTTTTTTTTCTAAACTCTGTGCCTTCATACGATTTTAAATACAAAATTTTAGATTTTTATTCCGACAAAAAAAATTTTTGACACTGAAAGGGTTAATAATTCCGTTTGTCTACATCAGTAGTTACATCTACTTACTTGCACTAGACCAATTCCTATGTGAGGTAGGTGCTACATCTGCCAATATTATCAGTCGTGTGGTGTCGGTACCATAATCTCGAAACATATCCGTAGGATCAACGCCATTCATTTTAGATTTAGACATTTTTTCCCATGTCATAACCACAGGTTCTTTGGTTTCCTTAAGTACTGCTTGATTCTTTTTAGCATTAACAATATCCACTTCATGCTCTTGGACGTAACGTCCGCTACCTTTAACGCGGTACGAACGTCCCATTACCATGCCTTGTACTAGTAGCCGCGAAAATGGCTCCGAACAATTAACGAGACCTTGAGAATGAAGAAAATGGTTCATAAATCGGGCATAATACAAATGCAATACTGCATGTTCTTTGCCGCCAATGTACAAATCAACTGGCATGGCTTTCGATATTATGTTTTCATCGAATATGTTATTGGTATTAGAGGGATCCAAAAAGCGTAAATAATACCAAGAAGAATCTACAAAAGTATCCATAGTATCTGATTCTCTTTGAGCGTTAGGGTTTTGACATTTGGGACAGACACATTTTAGTGCCTCTTCACGGTTTTGATCAATCTTTGATTTCTCTGGCAAAATTACAGGCAACTCTTCATCGGGGACTGGTACCACGCCACACTTGTCGCAATGTATTACAGGTATCGGTGTGCCCCAATATCGCTGTCTTGATATCAGCCAGTCCTGTAGTTTTGATGATACTTTATAACCGCCTAGTTTTAATCTCTTAGCCGTTTCCAAAACATCTTGTCGCATTTGTTCTATATTTTTCTTGGCTATCTTCAAATCCTCGTTAGCAAAAAATGACAAACTTAAAGATTCTTGTAATTCCTTATCCTCATCCCGAAAACTTGGTGCAGCCAGATATACATCACATTTATCTGCAAATGTTGGCACGTCACTAAATATTAACGGCATTATGGTACCGGTGAAAGGGTTCTCAATGGTAATACTAAATGAATTTGTTTTGTCCTTTGCTAGATAGTGACTAGTTTTTAGTACAACAAAAGCATTTGGATCCTTAAAATGCTCCGGATTTGCCGTCCAGACTCTTAAGAGAGTAGAAGCGGATGTTAATAATTGAAAGCCGAAGCCATCACAATCTCCTATCCAATGTCTTTGTAAATTGATTATGTCGCGCCAATCGATAAGAGTGGGATCATCCAAGCCTTCCAAAAGCTGTTTAGCAAATGCTGTGGTTTTTATAAACCACTGTTTCAACAGTTTCTTTTCCACCTTCGCACCCGATCTCCAAGAACAGCCATTGGCGTCCACTTGTTCATCGGCCAAAACGGTCTTATCAACTGGATCCCAGTTAACCAAAGCTTCGTTTTGATAAGCTAAGCCCTCTTTGTGTAGCATAAGGAACAATTTCTGGGTCCATCGGTAGTACTCAGGGCTACAGGTCGACATTTCATGTTTCCAATCAAAAGAGCAACCCAAATCCTGTAATTGTTTTTTCATTTGTGCGATATTTTGTTCAGTCCACGCTTTCGGTTCTATGCCGCGTTGTATTGCAGCATTCTCGGCTGGTAAACCAAAGGCATCCCATCCTATTGGCTGGAAGACATTATAACCGCACATACGCTGGAAACGTGCCACTGTATCACTGATTGTGTAAACACGCACATGTCCCATATGCAGATTTCCCGAAGGGTATGGAAACATTGAAAGAACATAAAACTTATTGTCCAATGATTTTTTGTCAAAATTGCCATCGTTAAGCGAACTCCTCCAGTGCTGTTCTATGCGGTGTTTTACATCTTTTGTCAGTTCCGAGCTCTATAAGAGAAATATAGAAAAAAATAAATATAGATTGCATCACATAAATACTGTCGGCTTACTTTGGATTCCGTGCATGCCTGGGTCAACCATCTTCTTCGGAAGTTATTGTTGATTTGCAGTAGAATGCCTCTCCGCAAAAATATATTCATAGTTTTAAAAATTTAATTGATAATTTTCCAAACTATGACAACAAATTCAAGATTTTTTGATGAATGGCAAGCCGATTGAATATATTATGAATGCCATCAGCTGTTCCGAGCATATGTTTACAATTGTAATAGCTTAATGAATTCGGCTGAAATGTAGGTAAATATTAGCTGTGTTCCTTTGCGCACATCGTTTGAATTGTCAATTTTCTTCATAATAAATTCTATTGTTTCGTAATTGTTTTGCTTGTTTGTATTTTGTGTTATCGAGTGCAAATGTCAATATAGCGGAAGTCACGTAAAGGGATTTTACTGATGTTTCCATGGTAGGTTAATTTTTATCATATTGTGGTTTGCTATGGCAAAGTTTTTTGAAAAATATAAAGTAATATATAAAAATGGAGCAAGAAAAATGTATACTAACGCATCAATTGAGAACGGCTGGACCGATTTGACTCATAATTTCTTTCAATTGTCGGTAATTACAGTGGGAAGGTTTTTATGAAAGAAAATTTTGAAAAAAAATCCGCGAAAATCTTGCAAAAAATATTTAAAAAAAACGGCTGTACCGATTTGACTTTCTGTTAGTTGTCTATAATTGAAATGGAAAGGTTTTATTAAAAGAACATTTTGAGGAAAATCCGCGAAAATATTGCAAAAATTATTTTAAAGAAACGGCTGGGCCATTTGACTTAAAGTTTCTGTTAGTAGTCTTTAATTGAAGTGGAAAGGTTTTAATGCAAGAACATTTTGAGAAAAATCCACGAAAATGTTGCAAAAATATATTTTGAAAGATATTAGAATTTCCACGCATTTTATATCGAACCTTTATGATTTCATCTCTTCGTAGTTCTTCTTGGACATATTTTGGGCGAAAATTGGCAGCGTATAAAATTATTAAGTAATTATCATTTATGGAAAATTCTCAAAATATGTTAATTTTCTAACATCAATTGGATTGTCATTGCCTTGAAAAAACTATTGTATTACTATATAAAAATTAATTGCTGTTCGTTAGTCTCGCTAAAACTCGAGAACGGCTGAATGGATTTATCTGATCTGATTTATCTGATCTTGAAAACAGCGGAAAATTTGCAAAAAAAAAATATTATGAAGCATATTTGCATTTCCACGAATTTTGTACCAAGCTATTTGATTGCAACACGTCGTAGTTGCTTTTTGAGATATTTTGGGCTAGAATTGGTAGCAAGTCAATTCTATAAGCCTTCATTTTCAATTATTGAAAATTTTCCATTTCAATTGGATTGACATTGTATTGAAACTTTTTTTTTTGTGAGAATACAAAAAAAATTGAGAAGTATATAATTGAATGTACACGCGATCATTGTATGTACACGGTTTTCTATAAAATCCACGTAAATTTTGGGACAAATGCAAGAATGAAAATCAAAAGACAGTCGGAATAGAGTTCTGATTCTAAGATTCATGCCCTAGATTATTTTCTTGAAAATAATAATAATAGGGACATGTTGATCCTCAAAGTACCTAAATTGTTGCAATGTCACGAGAAATATCAAATCTTCTCCTAATCGTGGGTTAATGTCTTTGAACTTATAAACACAAAACTTCGCACTTTGTAGATTCCCTAAATCGGTGGGGACAATGTTTCAGCATTATGTAGTAGTAAGTTGTCCATGCTCTGAAAAAATAATGTTAAAAATTACAGGCATACCGATAATTAAACGGGAAATATTTATGGCACCTTTTGAATACGTTAGGCCAACCCAATTCGGTCAACGTCCTAAATAGAAATGGCCCTAAATAGAAATGTTTCCGCAAAAATGTGTTTTACCATCCCGGAATGATATATTACAGCTACTACAATGGGAATGGATATATTCCAAATTAATTATGCCGATTATATTTAAAAACGTGCCCAAATCCCCCATAGCATCGAAAATGTGGAGTACTATTATATAGGCGATATTTGGAGGCTTGGGCGAATATAAAATTACAGCCAAATACCGAATTTTAGGCAGCGTTCGAAAATAAACATTATGGTACCGTTCCATAGTGTTCTGTACCGTACCAAGGTGGATAGGTACACTAAAATAACGTACTGTACCGGTACACAAACACTAAAAATATTTTTAGCGTTACTGTTCCGGAGCAAAACGAAAATCTTAGCGTACCTGCTGCGGTACACTAAAAAATCGTAATGTACCGACAGCGGTACACTAAAAATCGTAGTGTACCGGCAGTGGTACACTAAAAACCGTAGTGTACCGACTGCGGTACATTAAAAATCGTTGTGTTCCACTGGACGGAACACTAAAAATGTTAGTGTTCCGCTGGTCGGAACACTAAAAATCTTAGTGTTCCACTTGCCGGAACACTAAAAATCGTAGTGTTCCGGCAGTGGTACACCAAAAATCGTAGTGTTCCACTGGTCGGAACAATACAAATCGTAGCGTTCCACTTACTTGAACTGTACTGGTAGTGCACCATACACGTCTTTTTTGGGGAAAATGAGATTAAATAATAAAAAAATAATTAAAAATAAAATTATTTGCAATTACAAAAGTGGAAATGTCCATTTGAAATAGGTATTTTGGCCAGTTTTTGTGACAAAATTATACAGCTTTGGATAAATGTTCGTTAATTTACACAACGAACATGATTTGTTCCATAATATTGGGAGATCTCCTTGTAAAATGTTAGTACGAAAATTTTTTTCTTAAAACAATTATACCTGAATCCATCTATGATTCATACTTTTAGGAAATTTTAGCAAAAATATTCAAGATATGGTGATTGTCACACAATCAACATAATTTTACCTGCTTATTCATTAAAATAAGTGTACAAATTACGCGGATATGAAAAACACATTTTTATGATTTTGGGATAAATATTTATGATTTTTGCACAAGTAGTCTTATGCAATACATTTTTCCGATCAGCGCAATCGATTATCAGCCAAAATGTAATCCAATGGAATTTTCAGTTGCGAGTTGGCATCAGATTGAATTTTCACTAGACGACAAATGTAACACTACGATTTTAAGTGTTCCTCCAAGTGGAACACTACGATTTTTAGTGTTCCGGGCAGTGGAACACTACGATTTTTAGTGTTCCGGCAAGTGGAACACTACGATTTTTAGTGTTCCGACCGCGGTACGCTACGATTTTTTAGTGTTCCGACCGCGGTACACTACGATTTTTAGTGCTCCGACCGCGGTACACTACGATTTTTAGTGCTCCGACTGCGGTACACTACGAATTTCGTTGTGCTCCGGAACAGTAACACTAAAATATTTTTTAATGTTTGTGTACCGGAACACTAACACTAAAAATTTTTTAGTGTTTGTGTTCCTGGTACGGTACACTACAATAGTGTACCGTTTTTTTGCGAACACTGATTTTAGGTATACCGTTATATGGGGGATATTCGAATTCTTGGGCCAATATTGATCATTTTAGTTAGGCAGTATTAGTAGTAGTATCCCTATTATTAAATTAGAATATCCAACGAAACTTTAGAAGACAAAAATAGCAAATAGCCCATAATGATAAAATTTTAGATAATGTTATTTTCTATGTGTTCGGGCAAATACCAATATTTTACAAAAATCTGTGGAGGGTATAAAAACTAACCTAAAATGACGAAAATTATAGATCAACTACATTGCTAGGCAAGACAACGTTTGCCGGGCCCGCTAGTAAAGTAATATATTCTAAAATACATTTGTTTACAGATGAATTTTACAACATTAGAAAGAAGAAATTTAAGATTTGTAGATGAATCAATATCTAAATCATGGGTTTTTAGTAAAATTGTATATATATACATATATATATCAAATGAACAGAACGACTTTTTGCATTTGTTTTCTTTTTTATTATTATTCTGACATTATAGCCCACAACGTAGAGGTGTATTTTTTCTTCGTTGACAAAAGATACCCGACCTTGTATGATTGTACCATTTCTCAAAAATGTCTCATGAAAATTTCATGTGAGAAGCTCAACAATTGTTGCATGTGAAAATAATTTTTTGTATAAAAATAAAAATAAAATAAAAAAAACACAACCGGCAGCAATTACCCGAGATGATGTGTTTGCTGCTGCCGGCCAGAAAAAAGTGAGCCGGATACAGTAAGCTCAGTACAGCGGTTGAGAAATTCATGCGTTGCCATCTGGTCTGAAATTTAGGCCTGGCAAATACAACCCTGTCGAGATGTAGGGATCAAGAGGTGAGATAAAGGAAAAATGATAAATGTCGGAAAATGCGCGAGAATCCCAGAAAAGTGGGAAAATGGCATCTGGCTGCGGGGGTATAAAAGACATAACGGGGGGAAAATTCAAGAAAATTTATTTGGTGTTTGGTCGAGAGACTATAATTTATAACAAATTTTCAAAACAAAAAAACAAAAATCCCCAAGATAAACAAAAAATCCCCAAAATTTATTAAGACTTGTGTTTGTTTTTTATTGTTGAGTGCCTTATGCCTGCGAGCGAACAAAATAAAATCCCGCCAACATCCTCATCAAATAAAAAGGCAAGCATTGGCCCCTCCAAGTCGTTGCACGGAGGAGGTCATCCGTTTTTTTTTTTTTTGGGCTTATTCGGCGAAAAAGATTTATGTGGCTCACGGTTTTAGCCGTAGAATAGTTGGCTGGAAGACGGTTAAGCCCAAAGTGAAGACAGCACGTCAACGCAAGCTTGGACGCAGTTGGCCAATAAATTGATTTGTCTGTCCGTCCAAAATAATCCTGGAAAATAAGTATCGGGAAACCAGGTAACC